CGAGGCATGGTGGACATTGTGTACTAAGATGGCGTTCCCACAATGCACTACTGGGTCCCGGATTTTTTTTCTACCGCACACTGACCACCCAGACCCATTCTCTCACATCTAGGCCTACCAGCCTTTTCCCGCGAGATTTGAGGGCGCTAGAATTTATGCGTACTAGTACGTCAAAAACCCCTGCGCGTAAGCTGTACTAGTACGTCTGAAACCCTCAAAGGGTTAAAGAAGGAGCACGGCATCTGACCTAGTAGCACAGGCTAGTCAGGTCCAACTCACACCCACCCACACTCACTCATGCATTTATCTAACCCATCTTTAAAACTACACAACGTTTTAGCCTCTATAACTGTACTTGGGAGTTCCACTCATCCTCAACTCTATTACCAAACCAGTGGTTTCCTATATCCTTCCTGAATCTGAATTTTTCCAAATTAAAGCCATTGCTGTGAGTCTTGCCTAGGCTAGATATTTTTAGCATGCTATTTACATCACCTTTATTTATTCCTGTCTCCCATTTATACACCTCAATCATATCCCCCTAACTGTATGCCTTTCTAGAGAGTGTAGATTCAGGGCCCTCAGTCTATCCTCGTAGGAAAGATTTCTGATACATGGGATCAACTTTGTCATCCTCCTTTGTATGTTTTCCAGAGCATTTATATCCATGCTGTAATACAGTGACCAAAACTGTGCAGCATAATCTAGATATATAAAGTTGAAGAACAACCTGAGGACTCCCATTATATATGATTCTCAATATGAAGCCAGGGAGTCTGTTCACTTTATTGTGAACATTTATGCACTGTAGTCTTGGTTTTAGATTACTGCTAACCAGAACTCCCAAATCCTTTTTGCAGTCTGTAATATTAAGATCTACATTATTTAGTTTGTGTGTGGCATGGTTATTTACCTGTCCAATGTTTAGAACTTTGCATTTGTCTATATTAAACTGCATATGCCACTTCTCTGACCACTGCGTCAGTCTATTCAAATCTTCCTGGAGTGCTCTAATGTCCTGGTCAGAATGATTTCGACAACCTATTTTGGTGTCATTTATGTCGTTTATGTAGATTGTGAACAACAAGGGGCCCAACACTGACCCTTGTGGAACATATCTCGTGACGCTTCACCACTCTGATTTCTCCCCATTATGCAAACTCTCTGCTGCCTATTTGTCAACCATGCCTCTATCCAGGAAAAAATTTCTATTCTGTGTGCCTTAATTTTCCTCAATAGTTGCTGATGTGGGACTCTGTCAAAAGCCTTACTGAAGTCCATGTACACAATATCATATTCGTTACCATGATCTACCTCCTCAAATACCTTAGTGAAAAATTTAATAATCAATTTATAGGCAGGAATGCACATTTGTAAAACTGTGCTGAGATTTGTTGATTAATTTACACTTTTCAAGATGGCTACGAATTGCCTCGGCAATTATTGATTGACAGTGTCATCATTTGGATTTAACAGACAGTCAGATTTTAGGGGACTTTTTGTCTCCCCTATTAGTCCTTTAAATTGAGGCCTGTATACTTATATTTCCTCCTGTTAGAATAAACGGGCATAACTCCATGACTGTTCACTGCTCTGCGCCTCCTGCACTCCCTCCCCTTCCCCCCTCTCCTTCCTCCTCCTCCTTCCTCCCCTCCCCTTCCCCCCTCCTCCTTCCCTCTCCTTCCTCCCTCCCCCTCTTCCTCCCTCCCTCCTTCCTCCTCCTCCTTCTCTCCTCCCTCCTTCCTCCCTCCCTCCTTCCTCCCTCCTCCTTCCTCCCTCTTCCTCCTTCCTCCTCCCTCCTCCTTCCTCCTCCCTCCTTCCTCCTCCCTCCTCCTCCCTCTCCTCCTTCCTTCCTCCCTCCTCCTCCCTTCCTCCCTCCTTCTCCTCCTCATCTTCCTCCCTTCTTCCTCCTTCCTCCATCCTTCTCTTCCTCCTTCCTCTCCTTCCTCCCTCCCTCCTCCTCCCCTCCTCCTTCCTCCTCCTCCCTTCCTCCTCCCTTCTTTCCTCCCCCCTTTTTCCTCTTCCTCTTCCTCATCCTTCCTCTCCTCCTTCCCTCATCCTTTCTTCCCTCTCTCCTCCTCCCCCTCCCTCCTTTCCTCCTCCCCTCCCTTCTTTCCTCCCTCCTTTCCTCCTTCCTCCCTCCTGCTCCCTCCTCCTTTCCCCCTTCCCTTCCTTCTCCATTCCTACTCTCCCTCCCTCCTCCCTTCTCTTCCTCTCCCCCTCCTTCCTCATTCACTACTCTCAGCCCTTCCTCCTTCCCTCCCAGCCTTGCCTTCTCTCATTCCACTACTCCCAGCCCTGCCTCTTCTCATTCCACTACTCCCAGCCCTGCCTCCTCTCATTCCACTGCTCCCAGCCCTGCCTTCTCTCATTCCACTACTCCGGCCCTGCCTCCTCTCATTCCACTACTTCCCAGCCCTGCCTTCTCTCATTCCACACTCCCAGCCCTGCCACCTCTCATTCCACTACTTTCAGCCCTGCCTCCTCTCATTCCACTACTCATGGCCCTGCCGTCTCTCATTCCACTACTCCCAGCCCTGCCTCCTCTCATTCCACTCTCAGCCCTGCCTCCTCTCATTCCACTACTAGCCCTGCCTCCTCTCATTCCACTACCAGCCCTGCCTCCTCTCATTTCACTACTCCCAGCTCTGCCTTCTCTCATTCCACTACTTCCAGCCCTGCCTCCTCTCATTCCACTACTCCCAGCCTTGCCTACTCTCATTCCACTACTTCCAGCTCTGCTTCCTCTCATTCCACTACTCACGGCCCTGCCTTCTCTCATTCCACTACTCCCAGCCCTGCCTCCTCTCATTCCACTATCAGCCCTGCCTCTCATTCCACTACCAGCCCTGCCTCCTCTCATTCCACTACTCCCAGCCCTGCCTCCTCTCATTCCACTACTCCCAGCCCTGCCTCTCATTCCACTACTCCCAGCCCTGCCTTCTCTCATTCCACTTCTCCCAGCCCTGCCTCCTCTCATTCCACTGCCAGCCCTGCCTCCTCTCATTCCACTACTCCCAGCCCTGCCTCCTCTCATTCCACTACCAGCCTTACCTTCTCTCATTCCACTACTTCCAGCCCTGCCTTCTCGCATTCCACTACCGGCCCTGCTTTTTCTCATTCCACTACTCCCAGCCCTGCCTCCTCTCATTCCACTACTCCCAGCCCTGCCTTTTCTCATTCCACTACTGGCCCTGCCTTCTCTCATTCCACTACTCCCGGCCCTACCTTTTCTCATTCCACTACTCCCAGCCCTGCCTCCTCCTCATTCCACTACTCCCAGCCTTGCCTTTTCTCATTCCACTTCTTCCAGCCCTGCCTCCTCTCATTCCACTACTCCCAGCCCTGCCTCCTCTCATTCCACTACCAGCCCTGCCTTCTCTCATTCCACTACTTCCAGCCCTGCCTCCTCTCATTCCACTACTAGCCCTGCCTTTTCTCATTCCACTACTCCCAGCCTTGCCTCCTCTCATTCCACTACTCCCAGCCCTGCCTCTCATTCCACTACTTCCAGCCCTGCCTCCTCTCATTCTACTACTCCCAGCCCTGCCTCCTCTCATTCCACTACTCCCAGCCCTGCCTCCTCTCATTCCACTACTAGCCCTGCCTTTTCTCATTCCACTACTCACAGCCCTGCCTCCTCTCATTCCACTACTCCCAGCCCTGCCTCCTCTCATTCCACTACTAGCCCTGCCTTTTCTCATTCCACTACTCCCAGCCCTGCCTCCTCTCATTCTACTACCAGCCCTGCCTCCTCTCATTCCACTACTTCCAGCCCTGCCTTTTCTCATTCCACTACTCCCAGCCCTGCCTCCTCTCATTCCACTCCCAAAGCCCTGCCTCCTCTCATTCCACTACTTCCAGCCCTGCCTCCTCTCATTCCACTACTCCCAGCCCTGCCTCCTCTCATTCCACTACTAGCCCTGCCTTTTCTCATTCCACTACTTCCAGCCCTGCCTCCTCTCATTCCACTACTCCCAGCCCTGCCTCCTCTCATTCCACTACTAGCCCTGCCTTTTCTCATTCCACTACTCCCAGCCCTGCCTCCTCTCATTCCACTACTAGCCCTGCCTTTTCTCATTCCACTACTCCCAGCCCTGCCTCCTCTCATTCCACTACTAGCCCTGCTTTTTCTCATTCCACTACTCCCAGCCATGCCTCCTCATTCCACTACTCCCAGCCCTGCCTCCTCTCATTCCACTACTAGCCCTGCCTTTTCTCATTCCACTACTCCCAGCCCTGCCTCCTCTCATTCCACTACTCTCAGCCCTGCCTCCTCTCATTCCACTACTAGCCCTGCCTTTTCTCATTCCACTACTCCCAGCCCTGCCTCCTCTCATTCCACTACTCTCAGCTATTCCACTACTAGCCCTGCCTCCTCTCATTCCACTACTCCCAGCCCTGCCTCCTCTCATTCCACCACTGGCCCTCTTCCCTCTCATAGACATACTGGCTCCTTTCCTTTATGCTTCTGTGTGACTAACAATCGAACCTCGTCCAAAATATTGTTAAATTTGTCTCCTACTTACGGGTTATTTGTGTATTTCTCCTGTTTATGGGTAAATTCTGGAGAATATATTTTTTGGATGGAGTGGGTATAATAACAGACTGTGTATAGTCTATTATTATTGTTAACTCTTAGAGATTATTCTGCATGAATTGCCTTTTATACTTGCTGAAATTTTTTATTCCCCATTGTGATGTGTTTATTATTATTAAATTAAAAACCTGACTATACCTTAATAACTAAAGAGTAAGTGCCTCTGGCTCTATACCACTCTTTTATAAATATTTTTTTTTTTTTCATTTTCTGCGGCATGTGGCACTTGAGTCAGGTCAGTTGCTTTAAAATCCGTAGACAGTTAAGAAGGCTTTGGCTTCACAAGTAACTCAAAATCTAAAATTTCCTGCTCATAAGTTCATTTCTTCCATTCCATTGCCCTGTTATAACAAAATGGATGCCATTTATATTCTACAAGTAATATTGTGTTTTATTTCAGGGTGAAGTACATGTACCTCAGAGTGAACTGGGCTCTCTCTTACGTACAGCTGAAGGTCTTCAGGTGAAGGGATTAGCAGTTCCTGATGACTCACCCCGTGGCTCTTCCTCCACCCCTATTGTGCCTTCTGTTCCATCCGTCCTGCGCTCACATCCGCCCACACTTTTGGCACCTCGGCATCTGCGTGGAAAGCGCAAAAGACCACCGGGTAACTTGATAGAGTTCACTAGAATATGCATCATTTTTTTTTATTAAGTAAAGTTCTTAATTTTATTTTTAATCAAATTCATATTATGTTAAGTTAGGTAGTTATCCTTAGGTTGCTTTGATAACTAAATTTTGTGTTCATTATTCAGATTATTATATAAAATGGGGACCACCACTGGTATGAATTGTGTGAAAACTCAAGGCCTCAGAGAAGTAAATGAAATGGCTTTTAGGAAAATTCTTGATTTCTTCTAGAAGCCATTTTAAGTAATTTTCTTAAAATATTCATAATTTTTTAAATATTTATTGATTGTTAAGAACATAAGAACATGAGAAAGAAGGAACACTGCAACAGGCCTACTGACCTATGTGAGGCAGGTCCAATTCTCTTACCAGCTTAAGCTAGTGCCTTGACCTATTGAGGTCAGACACATCACTTAAGAGAGGAGCACTGCATCCGACCTAGTAGCACAAGCTAGTCATTTCCAACTCGCACCCACCCACACCCACTCATGTATTTATCCAACCTATTTTTAAAACTACACAACGTCTTAGCGTCTATGACAGTACCCGGGAGTTTGTTTCACTCATACAACAGCTTATTACCAAACCACTGTTTTCCTATATCCTTCCTGAATCTGAATTTTTCCAATTTAAAGCCATTGCTGCAAGTCCTGTCTAATCTAGATATTTTTAGCATGCTATTTACATCCCCTCTATTAATTCCTGTTTTCCACTTATACACCTCAATCAACTCCCCCTTAATTCTATGCCTTTCTAGAGAGTGCAGATTCAGGGCCCTCAGGCTATCCTCATAGGGAAGATTTGTGATACATGGGATCAACTTTGTCGTCCTCCTTTGCACATTTCCCACTGCATTTATATCCATTTTGTAATATGGTGGCTGAAACTGTGCAGCATAATCTGAACGAGGCCTAACCAAAGATATATAGAGTTGAAGAACAACCTGAGGACTTCTGTTATTTATACTTCTTATTTCCATTTGATATTTCATGGAATATTTTTATATTGAAATGAAACTGAAGAGATTATGAAGAGTATGAATGGTGAAGTGTCAAAAAGTGCTGTAAATGTCAGAATGTTATCCTTTTAACTGTATCCAACAGACTAGTATGCAAGTGATGACTGTGTGCCCAACGTACAATTTTTCATTCTTTCAATCTGCCAATTGACTTTTTGGGTTTCCTACAACCTTGTTTTGCCTTTGAAAAAAATGTAAGACTAGGTGAGTTCATGCTGTGCATTATGAGGCAGTGCTGCATAACTAGCATAGGTAAACAATGAAATCAGGACCTCTTGTTTCCACCACCATCTTCTTTACCAGCAAACAGGGTGTGGAACTGTCAGGAAGATGATTTATTCATTCTAAATTTATTACAGCTTCACAATACTAAATAGTGGAAGTCAGCCAAAAAGCACACTATGTAGCTTTAACCCAGGATGATCCAATATAGTCAAACAATGACTTACTTTCATATTTTCATGAGTATTACACTTTGAAAAACTTTTTATTTTATTATTATTATCACACTGGCCGATTCCCACCAAGGCAGGGTGGCCCGAAAAAGAAAAACTTTCACCATCATTCACTCCATCACTGTCTTGCCAGAAGGGTGCTTTACACTACAGTTTTTAAACTGCAACATTAACACCCCTCCTTCAGAGTGCAGGCACTGTACTTCCCATCTCCAGGACTCAAGTCCGGCCTGCTGGTTTCCCTGAACCCCTTCATAAATGTTACTTTACTCACACTCCAACAGCACGTCAAGTATTAAAAACCATTTGTCTCCATTCACTCCTATCAAACATGCTCACGCATGCCTGCTGGAAGTCCAAGCCCCTCGCACACAAAACCTCCTTTACCCCCTCCCTCCAACCTTTCCTAGGCCGACCCTTACCCCGCCTTCCTTCCACTACAGACTGATACACTCTTGAAATCACTCTGTTTCGCTCCATTCTCTCTACATGTCCGAACCACCTCAACAACCCTTCCTCAGCCCTCTGGACAACAGTTTTGGTAATCCCGCACCTCCTCCTAACTTCCAAACTACGAATTCTCTGCATTATATTCACACCACACATTGCCCTCAGACATGACATCTCCACTGCCTCCAGCCTTCTCCTCGCTGCAACATTCATCACCCATGCTTCACACCCATATAAGAGCGTTGGTAAAACTATACTCTCATACATTCCCCTCTTTGCTTCCAAGGACAAAGTTCTTTGTCTCCACAGACTCCTAAGTGCACCACTCACTCTTTTTCCCTCATCAATTCTATGATTCACCTCATCTTTCATAGACCCATCCGCTGACACGTCCACTCCCAAATATCTGAATACATTCACCTCCTCCATACTCTCTCCCTCCAATCTGATATCCAATCTTTCATCACCTAATCTTTTTATCCTCATAACCTTACTCTTTCCTGTATTCACCTTTAATTTTCTTCTTTTGCACACCCTACCAAATTCATCCACCAATCTCTGCAACTTCTCTTCAGAATCTCCCAAGAGCACAGTGTCATCAGCAAAGAAAAACTTGTAATATATTAAGATCTGAAAGGCACACATTATGAGTGCAAAAATTACATTTGTTTATATAACTCAAGCTATTCCCTTGACCCTAAATGTATAACACAATAATTAACCTAGAAGAACTAAATATAGTCAAGCAGTGCAGATTACTTCCATTTTTTTGAGGAATATTATGCCTTGAAACAATTGTAATATCATAGGTATTCCTTGTACATAGTGTTAAAAGACTAAAGCAGTAAAAAAGTGTATTTTTTTTTACACATGCTGTCTTCCACTGAGATTGGGTGACCCAAAAAGGAAACGCTATCGCTGTATTGCCAGAGGAGCCTAGATACGACAGCTCAGATATCCCTCCAAGCAGCAAATATCCCCAGCCCTCCTTTAGTGTGCATGCATTATACATACCACCACCAGGATTCAAGTCCAGCTAACCAATTTCCCTGAATCCCTTCACAAAATGTTACTCTGCTCACACTCCAACAGCTCGTCAGGTCCCAAAAACCATTTGCCTCCATTCACCCCTATTTAACATGCTCACACATGCTTCAATTTATACTGTATATTCCAAGTGGGTTAATATCGGGCTGTGCATTTCTCCACATTTGAAGTGCTAATATCTAATATCATAAGAAACTAATATGCATAGTGTTAAAAATTAAAAACCAACGAAAAAAATAATAATTTGGTATTACTAAATTAATAATAAAGGAGAGGTTTGGGATGTTTGCTGTTTGTAGGGACATCTGAGCTGTCATATCTGCACGCCTCTGCAAAGACTGATTGTGTGAATGATAATGAAAGTGTTTCTTTTTTTTTGACTCGTCCTGCCTTGGTGGGAGATGGCCAGCGTGTTAAAAACAAAAATTGTGAAAAATAAATATCACTGGCACGTTTATACTGGTGTTACTGACGAGTGATCTTTTTTTTGCCAACTTCAGTATGTACATTATAAAATTGTAAATTTTATCGATTCCACTTGGTCTTATTTGATTTATACAGTGCACTATTTCAAAGAAAAAAAGACCTGATCTTTTATTTATTTTTCAAAATTTGCCCCCACCCCCTAACACACACACACACACACACACACACACACACACACACACACACACACACACACACACACACACACACACACACACATCTCTCTCTCTCTCTCTCTCTCTCTCTCTCTCTCTCTCTCTCTCTCACACACACACACACACACATGCACACACATGCACACACATGCACACACATGCACACACATGCACACACTCACTCACACACACACACACACACTCTCACACACTCTCTCACTCTCACTCTTACACTCTCACTCTCTCACTCTCTCAATCTCTCACTCTCACTCTCTCCACTCTCACTCTCTCACTCCTTCTCTCACTCTCTCACTCTCTCACCTCTCTCACTCTCTCACTCTCTCACTCTCTCACTCTCTCACTCTCTCACTCTCTCACTCTCTCACTCTCTCACTCTCTCACTCTCTCATCTCTCCTCTCTCCTCTCTCTCTCTCACACTCACACTCACACTCACTCACACACACACACACACACTCACACACACTCACACACACTCACACACACTCACACTCACACACATTCACACACACTGACACACACACACACTGACACACACACACACACACACTGACACACACACACACTGACACACACACACACTGACACACACACACACACACACACACACTGACACACACCACCTACACACACACACACACACACCTACACACAAACACACACCTACACACACAACAGGCCTAGTGTCTAATCGACATGTGCCTAGGACAAAATGGTAACTAACTAACTCTCACACACTCACCTACTAGAGTTTTATGACAAGGTGACAGAAGTAAGACAAGAGAGAGAGGGGTGGATCGACTGCGTATTTTTGGACTGCAAGAAGGCCTTCGACACAGTTCCTCACAAGAGGTTACTGCAAAAGCTAGAGGACCAGGCACACATAACAGGAAAGGCACTGCAATGGATCAGAGAATATCTGACAGGGAGGCAACAACGAGTCATGGTACGCGACGAGGTGTCAGAGTGGGCGCCTGTGACAAGCGGGGTTCCACAGGGGTCAGTCCTAGGACCTGTGCTGTTCTTGGTATACGTGAACGACATAACGGAAGGGATAGACTCAGAAGTGTCCTTGTTTGCAGACGATGTGAAGTTAATGAGAAGAATCGAATCGGACGAGGATCAGGCAGGACTACAGAGAGACCTGGACAGGCTACAAGCCTGGTCCAGCAACTGGCTCCTTGAATTTAACCCTGCCAAATGCAAAGTCATGAAGATTGGGGAAGGGCAAAGAAGACCGCAGACACAGTATAGTTTAGATGGCCAAAGACTGCAAACCTCACTCAAGGATAAAGATCTGGGGGTGAGTATAACACCGAGCATATCTCCTGAGGCGCACATCAATCA